GAAATGGCAACAAGAACGGTACTGCTGTCGTTTGGCTGTCATATCCTTCAATGTCTCCAACCAACCAGTTGCATAGCCTTTCGTACCCCAACCTGGAGGGCGTGAAACAACTAATCTACCTAATGGCCCTGTGCAGTTCTCCATGCCTCGTCTCCACATTATCTGTTGACCTCCGCATGGCTTCCTCGAGCCCGGAGCGGCTGCAGCGAATAAAGCGTGATGCGGCAGACGACAGATGGGCATACGCAATACGTGCCCCAGCCAGCGAAGTCCACTAATCTGGATTCGATGTGCTAGCAGGTTTATCCCTGATAGACTCCCAGTCATACGACGGCTTACCTCCACATTACTAACCCGTTCGCTCCATCCCACGTGAGCTAAACTAAGTAAACACCTTGCTTTGTGACGTCCTATTGCATGGATATCCTCAGAGGGTGGGTCTGTAGAGACAAACGATGGTTCATGTGCTGGAATGGCGATGTGAGAAGCTGACACTGGTGTCCAGCTAAACTGATCTTTGAAGTGCTCCACCCAGTGTTCAAGGCCTCGCTTTTAATTGTGGATAGGTAAGCTGTTAGCTTCTCATATGGTTTCACTCACAGCAAAAGCTTTCCTACCGGTGACCCAGATGAGATGGAACAACTAACTGGAATTTCCCATGGTAGCAGTTCTTTCCTTCTCTAATGCTCGTTGAGTCCACCAGATTTCGCGGTCTTTGCGTAGGCCAGCGTTAAGTTTACGTTTTGTAATGAGTCATATTTGATTATGTTCACTCGAATGAGTCGCGAAGACGTGGAGATTCCACGGAAATCCGGGCTTTCTCGGCAGAATGTGGTAAACTATAACCAGGTTAGCAGAATACATAATATTCTTGATAAGCGCCCATGCTTGTTGATGTCGAATGGGGTTGGTTCTAGCTTTTCAGCTTGCGCGTTCTGAAAGACGGTTAGACAAGCGGATTGATACAACTTATCGCAATCTCACCGTCGCTGTGTCGTGCGTTTAGAAGAAAGGCGACAGGTCCTCTTGTGAAAACCATTGAGGAATTAGTTTAATCAACATCGTATCTAAACTTCTCGCTGGTATCATACTCCGTCGATTGTCTACCGCACGTAAAGAATGCACGCGTGAGAACCAGGCTGGTTTTAGAACTGGTCGAGGTTGTATCGACCACATCTTCACTCTTCGCTAAGCTCTGGAACACCGAAATTGTTTTCGTAGACACGCCATCTCTATCTTCTTAAATCTTAGAGCGGCCTTCGACTCAGTGGACCACTCTAAACTCTGTCGCTGACTTTCTCTGAAAGGTATGCTCGAGAAGTTTATTTCAATATTACGATCCCTTTATACCAATAGCCTAGGTCGAGTCCGAGCCTACGGCGTTTGATCATCCGAGTTCACCACGAAAAGTGGTGTTCGTTAGAGTTTCCCTCTCTCCTCTGGCTAGCCAAAGGCTCCGGTTGTGGATTCCCCAAGAAAATTCACCTGCATTGGCCTAGGCAACCTGACAGTATTCAACCCACATGCAAATCATGGAACGCTTTTATATTTTATATAGATTTTTGTACCATGATTTGTTTGGCACAAAGTCTGGGTTCAGACGTGTGTGGAGATACAAATGTAAGGTAGTGAGCTGCTGTTCAAACGCCCCAACCTCGTTCTGTTATGTCTTAATTGGAGCACAGTTTCTACTCAGAAATGCTTGAGATATACTACTAATATTAATGACAATCAATCGATCTGTCGATTTCGTCGCCAAAAGACAATCAAAACTGACACTTGAGTGAAGCTGTAATGGTTTTGAAAACTGCAGCCTTATAGGTTGAGATACTACTTCTCAAACTGCGCTTCAAAAGACTTTGCGCATCAACTATTTAACCAATCTTGGATTACGCGATAGTTAATTTATCATTTCCCCCTTTTAGCCTGACTACTTTTCGCATTTATGTCCAGCAAACCTGATTTGACGCCAAAATATGAGCCAGGTAATCAGTTTTCTACTCCTTGGCTGACTACTCTTCAGGAGAGAAAATTCTTTGTTTTCACGGGCCACTTTTGTACGAGGCCAAGGTATTTTTCACGCATTCTTTTGTACACCCTAATACCTAGTGCCTGGATGTTAAAGTAAAAGATGATACAGTAATGTATTTTGTTCATTATCAGGGATGGAACAAAAAGTAGGTTTTTTTCAATTTTCACTGGAAATTCCCCAGTTGGGATGAATGGGTCACCGACAAACGGATGTTCAAATTTAATGAGGATGGTCTAAAGAAGCAGAAAGAACTGGAACAGCAGATGTGAGTGCTCTGTGCCCATTGAATATACAACAAATTTAATAGTAAATCAGGTAAAAAGGTCAAAGTGCTGAGAAAGTCGGATCTCAAAAAGCAGTCTTACCCCCCACCAGAAATCATGCGTGATATTGAGAGAACGCTTCGACCTTCCGAAGTAAAACCAGGTAAATTCCATGTCATTGTTCTCACTTAGTCCGCCTCCAGAAGAGACCGAAAGTCCGAAATCAAAAGGTAAACCGACTCCTGAAACTGAAGAAGTAAAACAGGAGGAGGTGCCCGAAGTCGCTTCGCAACCGAAGGAATCGGAACCAACAAAAGCTCCAGCACCGACTGTCGAGGAAAATAATCCGACACCGACCAGTATATCTAGCTCATCTCGGCGACGGAAGGGTCGACCAGGTGCTACAGAAAATTCAGCGGAAAAGGTGCGTCAATTCTAACTGGATGATAGTTTTTGTGAGCTGCTCCTTATTGCCTTCATATCATATTTAAAAGTTCTCTGTGCATATGTTAAAGCCAACTTGGTTTAGCTGAATTCTTCATTCCCCCCCCCCCCGCTACCACAAAAAAATTATTGTGAACCTATGTTGATCAATTTACAGCACTGTTGTAAACCTTCTGAGAAAGAAAATCTTTCTCATATACATTTGGTGGCCCTGTTTCTAATTCCTTAAATTGTGAACTGATTTCCCGTTCTATTTGATCCACTTATCGCCACCAAATTTTAATGATTAGCAAAGTTGCCGGCTCATTAGTGTGCCAATTCTTTTGAGGCTTTATCTGATTCACCGCCTCCCAGGCCTATATCAATGGTTCCTTAACTAAGGTGTAGGCCTTCGCAATCCTAGGGTTCCCTTGTTGTATTAGTTGATGTGATATATAACAATGAAGGGAATCGGTATGTTATCCAACTGAATCGAGTCTTCGTCTACACTGCTTAATCGGTTATTTTCCAAAATATGCTCTCGCTGGTTAACTCGATGTCTGGTGCTGCAACTTGGTGGACGGAAATGCAAAGTGCCTTCCTGCAAGAGATACGTTCATAAGATGCTTCTATCAATCCGAAACCGTCATGCCAAAGGATTAAAATTACGAATCCGAAAATGTACAAACAGTGTAACCTCATATAATGAACTCAATGGACATCTCTTTGTTCTCTAATACACCGATGCACTTCGATTTGACGTTTCTTTTCACTCCCCTGGTGACACCAGTCTCTGATGGCAACAAGTCATACATTTTAGCACATTTGTCTCTTGTCAAATTAAGACTAATCATGCACTTAAGCTCGTGCACTTTAAACCGAATTTATTCATTGGTCTTTTAGGTTGTCTTGCCGTACATGTTTAAATTTATGATATGAAATATCAATTGCAAATTTCTTCATCCTGGTATTATATGTATCTATGCTCAGATGTGTCCGTGTTTGTTAAGTGGTTGAACTCATAGAAACAGCGGTCCTGAAATTGTATGTTCAATCCCTCCACCGTAGTCCATCTTATCTGTTTCTATATTTTCCTCAGACAGCTTTCCAGTTCCCTAACTCCATTTGGTATGCGCTTTGCACCTTCAAAGTGCAAAGTGATGCCAGAAGATTGGGCGTCCTCCACCCCGACTCTGATACTGGATGGTCAAGTATTAGCCATAGTGGATTGTTTCTGCTGCCTATGTAGATGCGTGACTAATGACGGTAGCATAGTCAAGGAATTAACCGCTCGCAACTCCAAGGCTAGAGTAACTTACGCAGGACTGAAACACTTTTGGTTTCCTTGTAACTCAGAGGTCGTGTATATCGCGGCAGTGTGCTGTCAGTTCCGCTTCATGGTTGCGAGACCCTAAATTTGCTCGTCGTCTAGAATTCTTTGACTGCAGATGTTTACGTAGTTTGGTGCGGGTTGGATGGAGGTAATTCGTCGCGTATTTGGTAATGATTCAATGGCGAATTCGTTGTCTCATCGAATTCAGATTAACCGGCTTCGCTGGTTAGGACATGCATTGCGCATGCCCAGCTGTCGTCTACTGCACCGCGCCTTATTAGCAGTTGCGGCTCTAGGTTGGAAGAAATCGCATGGAGGTCAACAGATGACGTGGAAACGAGGCATGAAGAAATCCATAGAGCGATCAGGTAGACTAGGTGTCTCCTGTCTTCCAGATTAAGGTCCAAAGACTCTGCAACTGGTTGTTTGGAAACTGAAAAATATGGCAGCGAACCGACAGCCGTGGCGTTCTTGTTGTCATTTCTTATCAGGTCAGAATGTTTGAAAAAGTATGTATGCTCAATTAGACGGTGTACTCTGAGTTGACCATAAAAGTTCACTTTCTTTTCCGTCCTCCAGTTAGGCCCATACCCTCTTCATCTTGTACTTTATCACTTGATTTGTGTGCATTATGAGCTTGACAACGATCAGTGAAGTTCGCTTCGCTGTATCCCGCTGTACGATGTGGCCGTTTGGTTACTATGTGTGTGAGCTTTCGCCTATGCATCCACAATCGCATTTCACAGATCTCGCTTCATCTTTGTGCTAGAATCAAGACTCGTTATGAGTGAGCATAAGCATGGTCATACAGTGGAAAATTCGCTCCAATCAACGTGTTACATTGTATTTGACTAACTCGCTCCACACTTTATGAAATACTGAGCAAAACTTGTCGTTTTGATCGCTTTCGTATATTACTATTATTCGACGTGTGTCGCATGTTATGTTTCTTTATACCTTTCACTCCACGTCACAAACCGGTTAGAGTTTTATTCGTATCATCCTCAAATGACTCGGGCATAACAATTGATGAGCCACAGATTTCCGCATATGAACTAACTAATACCACTCGCGTCTGTTCCATTAAGTTCGATGGATTTATACGATAACGATTTGTTACTTATTCCATTTACAGGATGATGGAGTCTTGTCCAAACCACAGCTCAAGGTTGATCTACCTCCAAGTTTGAAGGCGTGGATTGTGGATGATTGGGATTTAATTACACGGCAAGCAAGAGTATGTCTTTGTGTTTTCTAATTCCCCAGATAAAACATCTGTCTTTGTGTGCACCATCTTACCCATGCTCCGTTTATTGTCGTCTGGTTAGCCCACAAATTCAGGCCTATAAAATCAGTATGAGTAAATCATATAATGTAGGTACAGTGTTAGGGTTTTCCTACCCGCATGCCAGGTCTTAGCTTGACCACCTTGGGCTCTCTTCCACCAACTATCTACCTCAGCAAACATCGCTCGCCGTGGCAGCCTATTTGGAGACATGCGTAACACATGCCCCGACCAACGTAATCTATGGAGGTCGATCACTTGCTCCAGTGGGCGACCGCGGTTGCCTAAAACTTTTTGCCTGACTTCAGCATTGCTCGTCCGGCTGCCCCACCAAATTTATGCAATGCTACGTAGACAGCGGTGTTGAAACACCGACAGTCTATCTTTGTCCTGTTTTCTTAATGGCTAAGTTTCTGCTCCATATAGCAGGACTGGCCGAACTACTGCAGCATACACTCGACCCTTCACAGACAGCCGGATGTCGCGACGGCGCCACAAATGTCTCAAGTTGGCAAATGTCAACTGAGTTTTCTGTATGCTCGCCGACACTTCATTCGTGACGCGTCCACCGGGTGAGATGTAGCTGCCCAGATAACAAAACTAATCCACTTGCTGTATTACTTCTCCAGTAAGAGTGAGACTGGGTGCTGGATCAACCCAGTCTTGTAGTAAAATTTTACACTTTGAAGGTGCAAAACGCATACCAAACATGAACACACAAGCACTCAAACTATCCAGAAAAGCTTGTAGCTTATCTAGATCTTCACTTAGTAGCACAATGTCATCTGCATACTCTAGATCAGACAGCCTGCCACCTGGAAGTAAATCGATACCGCTATCCTCGCACGAGGATAGAGCTGTTTACATAGTCAGATCTATAACAAAGTTAAACACAAAAGGGGAGAGAGGGCAACCTTGTTAAACACCACTTTCCGTGGTGAACTCGGGTGAAAACGTGCCGTAAGCTCGGACTCGGCTTCGGCTATGAGTACAGAGTGATCATAATATTGAAAGAAACTTCTCGGGCACACCTTTCACATAAAGTCAGTGCAAGAGTTTAGAGCGGTCGACCAAGTCGAAGACCGCTTTAAGATCCAGGAAAATAGAGATAGTGGGTCTACGAAAAGAATGTCGGTGCTCCAGAGTTTAGCGAAGAGGGAAGATGTTAATTCAGTAGCAACGAGGCATATGTCGGTATTGTAAAGCCTCTTCAGTGGACGTGGAAGTTGTTTTTCACGACCGATGCAAATCTGATAACTCAGATTGTGCTGACTAACACCTCATGTATTGTGCTTCAGTCCAGTCTCATACAGGTTACTTACTTTTTCTCGTGTACCCTTGTTTTAAATGAAGCATACCCATCTCACCGATGGCAAACTTACAATAACTTTGCATTGTTCGGTGAATGAGTCCATGGTGTGCATCACGTCGAAGCATTCAGCTGTTGGTGTATACGATACGGAAGTAGAGTGGTAGAACGAAATCTTCAGCGTTGCTTTCCGAAGTCGCTGAAATATTGGCACTGTTTTTATTACACAAGGTGAATTACAGTAGGAGGGGAAGTCCCCATGGGCAAATATCATACTGTAAAGGGGAGAGTAGGGAAACATTCACGTAAGATTCA